ATGGTCGGGACCACACTAGTGGATCTTGAGGGGTGCCTGACACCTTCCCCTCGAGATAATTTCTAGCCCTTACCCTAATCTCTGGTTTCTTCAATTCAAACCCTTCTTAAAGTGTCCTAATGCACTATAATCATTAGGTGGTGACTCTCCAATTCCAAAACCCAATTCTCGCAAGGGAATAGAGTTGTCCTCCCAAATATCGTAAACCCGATTTCGCCTTAGAAAAAGGGGGCGTCGACATTATGTATAAGTTGATATCACATGTTGTATCCTACTTATTTCACGGCAGCCTTCCGGCTCAATTATCTATGATAAGTATGACATAGAAAGATACGTTATGTTGGTACTCGGTTAAGTAAGGTACCGGGTACCCATTGCGGCCCATAGGTTTGGGTCGTGACATATCTGGTCCGGGAATTTTATGCCAATGTGGCGCACATAAAGAAAGGGACCAAAGTGACCAAAGTGAGGAATCTGAAGGTGAGATTTAACTAGAATACCTTGAACACCTACTTGGGGTTTGAGGATATTGAGCCTGTGCAGTACTTGGAAAAGCTGGCAATGGGAGATGCAGCTCGCCCATTGCTAGTTGAGATTCTTGCATCCCTGGGGCTACCACCACCATGGATCACAGCAGGGATTCCTATTCAGCAGAACACCCTGAACTTCGAGGCAAAGGGATGGCAGACTTTTGTATGCAACAGACTAGACCCGTGCCAGAATGAAACAAACCTTCCTATTCAGCGAGCAGTTCTAGTCGCCTCTATTATGGCTAGGTACCCGATCAATGTGGGTGCCGTGATATCGGCCAACATGTCTGTGGTCGCCAGGCAAGCTGGTACCTCCTACCCGTATCCCAACACCATCACTAAGTACCTTACAAATGCACGGGTGGAGCCGAAAAATTTTGATACGAAGGTGCGGGCGAAGAAGCCCTTCTCATGGTATTCTTTGATTGATGCACACAACTCTAAGAGAAATAGTTAGCCTACTACCACCATCGGCCAGTCTGATGAGCCATCTGTGATACCTGCACAGACAGTTTATATGCCATCCACTTCAGCAGAGCCTTCAGCCAGTGCGGCTGACATGCCCCCACCTTCAGCCTCAGTGCTTTCCACCTCGGCTTTGAAGCCGGTGCCTATGCCTACTGCTCCACTATTTGTGCTGTGAGTCTCCCAGATACTGGCAAGCCTCAACAACTGAATGCAGACAGCCACTGCAAAGCTGTCTGACATATCCAATATTGTTACAGCACAGTCGTCCAGGTTTCTCCAACAGTGGAGGAGGCATTGAAGAAGCTCCTGGAGAACCAGACCACCATAATGAAACACCTTGGTAGAGCATGGATCAGTGATTGAGGAACTGGGAAAGCAAGTAACGAAAATGAGGAAATACTAGGCATCCAAGAAATCAGTTGACAGGCTGCGGAGAGAGGTGACCAAGATTGCAGCAGCGGAGATCTTCCATTTGACATGCTTATGGAACCAGACCCAGCAGCACCAGCAGGACCATCAGCTCTGGTGGCACCACCTGGCCAGTCTGATGAGCTAGACCTGGTTGCCGACAGTGCTGAGGCGGTACGCCAGATGTTCACCAACCCAGCTACTCCCAGAGTCAAGGATGATGAGATCCAGTTAGAGGAGACTGAGGGCGGTGACGCTGCTGTGGACACAGAGATGTCCAAGGCGACATAGGGACTCTTCTTCACTTTTACCGTTTACTATTATTTTGTTAAGCATTGGGGACAATGCTTATTTTTATTGAGGGTAGGGGTGGAGTGTATTTGATCTATTTGGATGATGTTTCTGAGAAAATTGGTTTGTAATAACTGATAGTATTTTCTTCTTTCTCCTTATTCTGTATATATTCTCTCCTTTCTCTCATGATGTATATATTCTTTCATTCCTCTCTCATTATGTATATTCGTTACGCTTTCAGTATTTTTGCTTTGTTGCTTCTTTATTTTATTTTCTTATTAGTTAGTGTTTAATTTAGTAACTTCTTTTTAATTTAATATCTTCTTTTTGATTTAGCAGCTTCTTTTTATGTTTTAGTGGATAATAACCCTTTGATTTTCTTAATGTCACGGTTCTTTCCAAAGGTAGTTTTTATGTGAACCGGGTGACTTTTTCCAACGATGGATGGTGTGACAACCTTCTTAAGGGATTGAGTCCGTTTTTGGTGTCTAGGTAGTAATAGTAGTAATAATGAAAGTCAAACATGCTTCATTTGGCACCAACACATTTAACTACGTGCTTATGGTTAGAGACAAGGATTTTAAAAAGGAAATAGCTCTAGTTAGTGACTTTGTGACTCTTGTGTTGACTTTGATACCACCGAGTGGTCCAATTGGACCATAGTGATATTCAATCTTCAATGTGGTCATTGTGGACCCTTGACTCTATCCTCTTTAACAATCTAGTTGCGTGAGGGGTGAGATGCTTTGTTGCTAGTCTGAGTACTTGTGCGGAAGGTCTAGAACTGGCCCCAAATGTGTTTTAAGGCGAAATCGTAAGTTTTGCTTGGCTTGAGAAGTGATTGTAGGCTTTCCTTGGCCCATTTGAGCTTTCTATTGTCTACCAATGATGTCATCCCGATTCAACCCCTTCAAGCCTTTAGCCTTTCTCATTTGAAAATCGTGTTACAAGCCTTTACCTATTTTATATTGACCCTCTCTTGGCACCAGAGCTTTCCTTAACACTCGTGTGAAACAATTGGCTAAAAATGTAATTTTGGGGGAGAGACGAGGAAATCAAAGAAAGGTATTAAGGCACAAAAAAAGAGAAAAAGAAATGACAAGAAGGAAAGGCAAAGAAAAGAAAAGAACAAAAAGAAGAATGCAAAAAGTGAATAAATGAAAGAGTTGAAGGGATACAAAGAAAGGCAATGATCCCAAACATGGAGAAATATTAATGAAATAATCAATAAAGAGTGATGTCAAGTCTCTCTAGTCCCCCAAGGAAAAGAAAGTGCCTCAAAGAATCGGTAAAGTGTGAGCTAAGAATTAAAAGATGGAGTGCTTAAGGAAGGTATAACCACTTATCCATATTGTATCAATCCCTAATCCAAAAGCCTTCATTACACCCCGAAAGATGTCCTACTTTATTTCGACCCGAGTGAGCTACATTAGTGGTGATTTACATGAGGGGAAAGCTTATTGTACCGGAAGCCGTACTTGTGACATTCTCTTGAGAGAGATGAGTGAACTTTTTGTATGTGCATAAATGTTTAACTTGTTTCCTTATTAATAATGCACGAGCGGTGTGGGAAATTATTAGTCCCAACTGAGGTGTGAATGATTCACCCATGGCTGCCTATAATGTCCTTTAACTTTTAGAGGTGGGAACTATTTTGTTTGCTTAAGGAAAAGCAAAGACTAAGTTTGAGCGAGTTGATAAGTGGGGATTTTGACTACTTATTAGTGCCTTTTTGCATTAGTTTTTGTTCAAAAGCATTTAATTGTGTTCCCGAAAACTTATGAAATGTGCTTAATTGTAGGAATATAGGAAGATGAACTCCCGAGATGAAATCAGACTCAAGAAAGAGTAATATGAACTCAAGGATATAAAAGGCACAGAAGCTCAGAAGTGTGGACCGCAGAATATCATCTGCGGCTGCAGATGATGAAGGAAAAGTTAGCAGAGCTTGGTGCAAAGTGCGGTCCGCACATGAATTGTGCGGCCGCAAAAGCTAGGCCAGGAGCAAAGTTCAGAGAATGTGCATTCTAAGTCCATCAAGAGTACGGACCGCACAAGAATTGAGCGGTCATAGAAGAAGTGATATGCGGCTGCAGATGTAGAAGTACGGACCGCAGAAGAGCAATATGCGACTGCAGTTACAAATTTACAGACTGCAGAAGAGTGCCATGTGACCGCATATCATAATTATGCGGCCGCACACTTCCAATCCTGACAAGCTGAAGAATTATGCGGACCGCACATGGAATTGTGCGGCCGTAGAACCTCTCGAAGGGCATTTTTGTCCGAAATTTCCAGCCCTGTATAAATAGACGAGTCTCACAATTTTAGGTTAACTTTTGACATCAGCAGCTACAATAGCCGTTCTCTTTACTTCTTTTAGTAGTGTTTCATATTTTGGAATATTTAACATAGATTTTATCATTTTGATTTAACAATATGAGTTTAATTAGCATCTTTTCTTCTATTTCTTCAATTTTAAGCATGAGTAGCTAGATTTTTACTAGGGTTGTGACCCAACCCTAGTGTGTGAACCTTATGGGTGTTTGACTTAATACTTGTTTATTTTGTTGGGTGTTTATTATTAAACCTTGTTCATGCTTATTAATGGTTGCAAACATTAGTTCATGCCTATTTGACTTAGTCTCTACTTGAGAAAGAGGGATTTAGTCTAGTAAAACTTGGCTAACAAGAAATTGGGTCAATCGAGAGATTGATAATCCCAAATAAAGGGTTCAACCTAGAGATAGTAATAACCCGACTTGAGCTTTTATCAACCATTTTGTGCAATACCCATTTGGGCTTGAGAAAGCCAAATTGGGCAAAATCACTCTCTGAGCGAGAAGTATTGAGAGGGTAATTGAGGATTAATGGCTATAATACACCCCGATCAACAAATCAAGCATTAAGGTTTACATCCCATTAGGCAAACACCTAGGTGATGGTCATAGCCCTAGGCTTTTTACAAATCCTGAAAAAGAACAAAAACAATTTCTTAGTTTCATTTCTTAATTTTGCAATCTTAGTTTAAAATAGACCAAGAACCAACACCAAATTGTGGAAGTGTAAATTGAGATAGTTCAAACTCATACACGACAATATATACTCCTAACTCCCACACATAGCTCCCAATGGAATTCGACCCCGACTCTTTGTTGGGTATTACTATTGCAATCGATCGTTTCATAACCTTGATTTGAGGTGTGAATTGGACGAGATCAAGCTTCCAACATAAACGGGTCTAGACTCGGAATAGTCTTAATTATGCCTTAGGGGTAAACCTTAAGGCAAGCCATCAGAATGATCCCTTTAACTAACAATGAAGTGGAGTACGAAGATTTGATTGCAGGGCTCGAATTGGCCATGGCACTTGACTATGAGGTCATTGAAATCAAATGTGATTCGCAATTAGTGGTAAATCAGGTCTACGGGATCTTTGAAACCAAAGAGGAACGTATGCAACAATACGTGGTAAAGGTCCAGGCTCAGTTGGCACGATTCCAGTCGTGCTTTCTATTAATTCCTTGATGGCTATTGCGGCTACAACCAAATTCTTATTGCTCTAGAGGATCAAGAGAAAACTACCTTTACATGTCCTTATGGTACTTTTGCCTTCAAGCGAATGCCATTTGGGTTGTGCAATACACCGGCGACTTTTCAAAGGTGTATGATGGCGATCATCACGGACATGGTGGAGTATTACCTTGAAGTCTTCATGGATGACTTCTCGGTGGTTGGGAATTCTTTTGATGATTGTCTAGCAAACTTGGATAAAGTGTTGGCAAGATGTGATGAAACAAATTTGGTGCTAAATTGGGAGAAATGTCATTTCATGGTAGAGGAAGGCATTGTCCTTGGCCACAAGATCTCAAAGAATGGCATTGAAGTCGACAAGGCAAAGATTGAGGTGATTTCTAATCCGGCAGTGGTCAATTACTCATATCCCGAGGGAGGATAGCACAGAAGAAGATGCATTGGCAAACTTGAGCTCATCGATAGAAATCAAGGCATCGGAATCAGGGACGGTAGTACAATTGATGAATTCAGTCCTGGATACTATGAGGTTAATTCGACTAGTTTGGTCTGGGACTGGAGAAATGAAATAATCGACTATCTCGAGCACGGGAAGTTGCCCGAAGACCCCAAAGAATCACGAGATTACACGCCAAAGTTGTATGTTATAGCTTCAAGAAAGGCCAATTTTATAGAAAACCCTTCCAAGGCCCGTTGACCCGGGGCTTAGGAGCGTCAGAAACTAATTATGTCAAGAGAGAGGTCCATGAAGAGATATGCGGTAACCACTCAGGCACAAATTCTTTGGTGCTGAAATTAGTTCGGGCAGGATATTACTGGCCCCGCATGGAACAAGATGCCAAAGACTTTCGTACAAAATTGTGATAAGTGCAAACGCTACGCACCACTAGTACATCAATTGGTAGAACCCTTACATTCGGTTCTTTCCCTATGGTCGTTCATGAAATGGGCGATGGACATCGTCGGACCGCTGTCACCGGCTCCTGGAAAGATAAGATTTCTTTTAATTCTGACTGACTATTTTTCTAAATGTGTGGAGACAGGTCCTTATCATAAGATCGGAGAACGTGAAGTGGTCGACTTCCTGTGGGAAAATATAATTTGCAGGTTCGGAATACTAAAAGAGATAGCATACGATAATGGGCCGCAGTTTATCGGTGCAAAAATTACAAAGTTCCTTGAAGATTTGAAGATAAAGAGGATCGCCTCTTCACCTTATCATCCGTGCGCGAACGGTCAAGCGGAGTCAAGAAACAAAGTGATTATCCAAAACCTCAAGAAAAGGTTGGAAGCGCCAAAAGGCAATTGGCCCGAAGAATTACTCAGATTTCTGTGGGTCTGCCGTACAACGGCCAAGTCAAGCACAGGAGAGACTCCTTTTTCCCTTATGTATGGCGCAGAAGCTCTAATCCCGATGGAAGTAGGGGAACCCACCTTGAGATATTTTCAGGCGGATGAAGAATCGAACAACGAAGCAATGTTAATCAACTTGGAGCTGCTCGAGGAACGCAGGGACTTGGCGTGTGTAAGAATGGCGGCTCAAAAGCAGAGAATAGAGCGATATTATAATAGGAGATCCAATTTCCATTATTTCAAAGTAGGAGATTTGTTATGAGGAACGTAACTCAAAATACCCGGGAGCTCAACACAAGGAAGCTGGGTCCAACGTGGGAAGTTCCCTACCGAATTTTAGCTATCACTGGGAAAGGTTCGTATGAGTTGGAGAATCAGAATGGAGATAATTTGCCTAGCAACTGGAACGTGGCACATTTCAAAAGATAGTATTGCTGATGAACATTATTCGAGCGGAAAGTATGTGTTGCACTCTTTACTCCTCCGTTCAGTTTTTGTCCCAATTGGGTTTTTCTAGCAAGGTTTTCTATGAGGCAACGATAGAAAGCATACTATGAAAACACCAGCAATAAGACCTTCGATAGCAAGGCAAACAAACAAGCTTCCACTCGGGGACAGTTAGGTAATCTTTGGCTCGATAGCAAATTCCCACTGGGAAGTTATGTTTGCTATCGGACAAAGGTTTACCAGACCGTTCACAAGCACAAACCGCTAGAGGATTGTTAGATAGTTTTTTGCTCGCTAGCATGGATTCCTAAGGGGAAGTAAGGTGTGTTGCCGAGTTAAGTATTATCTAGCAATTCAATGGAGGAATCTTTGAAGGCACAAGACTTCCAATGTTCCAATTTGCATTCTTCGCATTCGAACACTGGGGGTAGGGGTGTTCATGGTTCGATTTGGGTCGGTCTTTCTCTAAAAAGAAACCAAACCAAGTAAGTCGGTTTTTCAAATATTGGAACCAAACCAAACCAATTAAGTCGGTTTTTTATCCATTCGGTTTTTGTCGGTTTTTGTCGGTTTTTTGGTTTTTTCGGTTATTTATCGGGTTTTTTCTTAAATATGAGACATATAATACCAAACACATATTCCAGCAACTACATTTTCAACATAACACTATCAAATCAATTGCTCTTTGAGAAATCTATCATTTACCGAAATATATTGATGATAATTGAATCAAATAGTGACGAATAATTTAAGTACTCAATTAAAGATCCATTATTTTTAACATGAAATAAATTCTTGTATTTAGCAAAGGAAAACTACCAATCAAACTAGAATGTAAAGGCAAAGAATTAGATATTATAATTGCAAATAAAAAGACTAAAAATACAAATAACTAATATGTACAATAAAATTTTAGAAACTTTATATAAAAATATACATATATATATAGGTGTAATAATAAATTTAAATAGCTACTTTTATTGTCGGTTTGGTTCGGTTTTTTTCGGTTATTTTCTGATTAAAACCAAAACCAAACAAAATTTGATCGATTTTTAAAATTCAAAACCAAAACCAAACCAAACCTAAAAAGTACCGGTTTTTGGTCGGTTGGGTTCGGTTTTTCGGGTTTTTATGAACACCTCTAACTGGGAGGAATTACATGAGGATATGGCAACACTGACTGCAACGTTGACCGGGAACAAAAATCCGAAAACAAAATGCGTCATCGGGACCGGGGACTGCGTAGCCAGCCCTGTAGAAATAAGTTGTACAAGATAGCCACAAGTAACGGCAATTTCTTTTTAGCATAACAAATTCTTTTGTACTTTTGAAAATAGAAGGAATTAAATGAAATAAAATCTTCTTTTATCCTATTTCTTGTCTGAACGATGAACTAACGTTGTCATTTGAATGTTAAACAAGAAGTTCAAATGCTAGTGCCGTAATGAACAGGAGACATCCTCTTCAAGAGCACCGTAAACATAAGAGGGCCCTCTCTTATGAAAACCCTAACATTAAAGGGTTGGTTTCGGAAGAATTTATGCCCGGAAGCAAAATGCCTTCGAGGAAAAATACACCCGAAGACATACACGAAAGGACGCAAAAAAGCATACTTGCGCAAAAACTTAAAGAAAACCTCACGTGAATGCTCGAAACCAAAGTACTTCAAGGATAGTGCATCCGAGACTACACATAGCAAAGCGCGAAATGAAAACGTGCACAAAATTCTTAAGCAAATACAAAGGTTAAAGACTCGCATGGATATTCAAACGAAAGTAAGACTCAAACAATACTTAAGCAGAAGTATGTTTTTATTTACAAGACGTGCCAAAAAGTACAGAATGGTAAAAAGAAAAGAAAAGCTAAACTGCACCATCTCTGAAACTAGGAGGAAAAGATGTGTCCGCATCCCCGGGAGAAGTAGGTGGGCCTGCCGATGGCTCGACATTTTCCCCAGTTTGGTCTTTAGCATCATCATCCTGCGATTCCTCTTCAGTTCCCGAAAACTCGGAACCGGAAGCAGAAGAACCAAAAGCATCAGACTGCACCGGAGTCCATTTTTAGCAGCCAACTCAAGCTCTCGGGCCCTAGCAATTTCGGCATCAAAGTCAAGGATGCCTGCTTTGGCCTCTTCCAAGATTTTTCTCCTCATGTTGTACATGGCGTAAGTTTTTTAAACAATGAGGGAAGCCGCTCGGTGCTTGAGTTTTTCTTTGAGTTCAGAGATGTTTTTCTAGGCTGACTTAACATATTGGAGGCTAATAACAAGGTCGCAGACAGTTGAACTAAAAAGCCTATTATGTTCAATAGTATTTCTGTACTTATCTTCCAACTAGGCACACTTCTCCTCCATAGCAAGCTCTTCTATTTTGGAGTCCAGGGCTGCTTCTAATTCAATTACTTTTTTGGCAGTAGAAGCCTCGTGCTCGGTTATAGCAAGAATGGCATCCTGGACTTCAGCCCATTTGGCCTTGGCTTAATCAAATCTAACCCTCAGCGGTCCAATCTCTTGGCTAAGGGTTACCACCTCTTGATCTATTTGCTGCAAACGAGCCTCCAAAACAATGGCCTCAGTGGCTTTGGTTTCTAGTTCCGAGAGGCGGAGAACAGTCTAGTCCCGTTCCACCAAAAGCTAATTCCGCTCAGATGTAAGCTCCTCTTTCTCACGAATCAACCTCTGAAGGCCCTCGAAAGCAAAAAGGTTGGCCTACAAAGCAAGAGAAGCAAAAATTAGAATACACGCATGCAAAAGTAGAAGAAATTACAAAGGAAGAAAGGAATGCACCGCTGCGGCATTGTATATGGCATTGTTCAAAAAACATTCCCTCGAGATTGCTTGGATCTTTTTCCAATCTTTTTCTGAAGAAAAAGGCTTCAGATAGTTAGCAAGCTCCACTGGCTGGGAAAGCAAGTTTCACCTGGTAGAGACCGAGAGGGTAACATTCCTCCTCCTCTGCGGATCTTCAGAAGGGGTAGCATCATTTTGCCCCGAATTCCCATGAATTGGGGACCGGGGAGGAGGAACATCTCCTTCATGATCAGATGTGGCCAGTGGAGATGATGTACCAACTGCTGGTGGGAGAGCAGATGAAGATGGAAGCCATGTAGCAGTTGTTGGTGCTGGCGAAGACGGGGATGAAACTAATGGAGTTGAAGGGTGTGAAGCACTTGCATCAAGTGCAGTGCTGGTGGTTGGGTGCTCACCAACAAAAGACGGTAGGGACTCGGTACTTAGCCCCGCAGTACCGGGCACAGCAGTTGGGACCCGATAGCGGAGTTGGCATTTCTACCAAATCAAACTCCCCCCAGAGCGTCGAGACATCGTCCTCGGTAGGAGTAGTTAACTCAGCAGATGGAGCATTCTGTTGAGTTGATGATGAACGTCGCCTTCTTTGTAGAGAAGCCTCATTATCACTGGCTTTTCCATCATCTTCGACCACCATGATGTCGATGACCGGACCAAGGGGAGGTCTAGTGATCACGACTTCCGGAGATGACTCAAGGGCAATAGTCTTTGCCCTCGTATTCCTATCCCCGGCCACAGAAGAACGCCTTCTTTTTGGTTGCTTGTTCTCTTACCGGGGACTTTGTGGTAAAACATTTATGCCCGAAGCAGGCCCGGAGATACCTGTTCGAGTAAGTGCCTCCTGAAGCATCCTTGTTGCATTAGCAAGATCAGCCAAGAAATCCTCATTGGGGACAACAACAGAGCCCGCGGGTAGACCTAATTCCAGGAACCAGTCAGAAAGGTTCATCCAAGTTCTCCGCATAAAAATGAAATCAAAGTAAGTTTAAATTACAATGTTTTTTGGCCTTCCACCTGTACTTAAGGGCCAGTTCTTTCCACAAACGAGTTTCGGGCATCGTAATGTCCAAGATCTTCTGAACCCACCGGTCCAAGCCTTCCACATCCGGTGGGCTCCATCGAGTTGCTGAAACATACTAATGATGAAGAATCAATACGGTCATGGAAGAATATTTAGTGAAATAAAATATATTAAATGGAGGTAGAAAATATATTAAATGGAGGTCTTACGAGCACGGTTCCAAGCGGTCGTAAAGCATGAAGTGGTTAACAAAATGATGTAATGGGTGGCAACTGCAACGAACTGTTCCGCCCACCCACGGTCATTTTCATCATCCATGCTAGTCAACAGAGCATGGTGGCTACGTTTGTAGAGGATTATCACACCCCCCCCCCCCCAAAAGATCTTGGGGGAGTAAAGGTTTATCATATGAGCTAATGTTAGGTCTTCTGCAGTCTGCTGGCACAAGCGTCGAAGGCAGGCAACCGTCCTCCACACTAAAAGACTTACCTGTGCCAAGCACGCTTGGTAGCGAAGGCAAAACTCCGCAATCACGGAATCAAGCTATCCGCTCAAAGAAAACGCACCTAAAGTAAAGGGATACGTGTAAAAATATGTAAAACCTTACTTGGGAAGAGTCACTCACTCCGATAGATCAGGAGCAATGATGTCCAACTCATGGCAGCGGCAGTCTTCCTTCACATTAGGAATACTGCAAGGACGAATGGAAGAAGGATACCTACTAACGGCCCATGTATGAGGATTAGTAGTAGGGAATTTCTCTTCAAGATCCCTTGTGGTGCTGAGTATTCATAGAATGATAGAACCCACCGTTGGTGGAGCAGAGTCCTCGGCCTTGCTTTTGTTCTTAGAAGAACCAGCGCATTTGGAAGAAGAAGCCGTTGAATAAGAAGAAGGAAAAAGGGTTTTGTTTGGAGAAAATTAGAGAAAAGATGGAGAATAAAGGATACAAATCAGAAGGGAAGTTCAAGAAATTATGAAGTGTATA